CATGAAAAAAAATTTAAAAAAAAAAAAAGATTTTACTTTTAAGATTTTCTTTAATAAAAATTATCTCTGGGAGTAGGTTCTTAAATGGTGCCACGTACAAGTTAAGGAGGGGTAGGGATATATTAACCAAAATTGTCACCTTATTTAGTCTTGATTCATCATTTATTAATTTAAACTAAATACAAAAACAAAGAATTATCTCAGAGAAGTTTTGGAAGATATTCAAACATGAATTTGCTTGATTAATAGCCATATACATATATATATATATATATTTATATATATATGTGAATAGGGTTGCTTATTATTTTAGTGACTTCCTTGTTGGAGTCCCACAATGTTAGCTTAATATGAAGGAAATGGGAAGAGGTTGTTTGGGGTAGGTTTAAGTTCAATACTATTCACTAGAATTAAAATTAGTTTTAATGATTCATCAATTGATAATTAAGGAGTATATTTAGAGTTTCATTTTGAGTATAGTTAGTATTTTTTTCTCTACCCGCAATCTGACCAAGTGAAGGAATCATGAAACTCATGGAAAAAGAGTAGAAAAATTTGTTTTTTTTTTTTGAAGGATGTCATGTTGGCTCCATTTTTGTTTCTTTTGTTTTTATTTTTCACCTTGATGTAATTTTAGTTCTTTATCTTTATCACTTGTAAATATTTCAATTAATTAAATCATAAGTATATGTCATGAACACACGCGAACCATACCATAGTTAAAATTTTAAATAATTTTTACGTATATATTAAATTACTAATTTGTTCACATCACAAAGTATTTAGTAAATACTTTACACATTCATTTCTATTTTATATCATTTATGAACTTAAATATCTGAGTTAAACAATATTTCTAACTTTTCAATCCCATTTCTAATAGTATTGGTGGCGACTTCGATAATTTTTGAAATTAACTTTTTGCGGAATCTTTTTTTTGTTCGATCCTCCACGTTGTGATAGTCGTAAAATGCGAGTTCATCACACAAAGAACAGTAAATATACAAAAAATGTAAGTCTACATATCATATTATTAGGCATATTGAGAGTAGATATATTGTAAAATATGATTTTGAAGATCACGTACACCACAACGTATAAAACAGTTCTTAAATTCATGTTATGCACGAGACAATTATAAAAATACACATTTTTAAAATTTGAAGCTGAATTTAACATTTTTTTTTTCAAGTGTAACAACTAGATCTAACTTTGTTACTTTAAAAACTCTCGTTCTACTTTATTTTAATCAATTTTTGAGAGCATTTTAAAAAATCAATAAAAAAATTTCATGTTTTCTTTTGAGTATTCTTCTGACAGCTAAATAATTTTTTTTTTTCTACATTTTGTTTAGGTATTGTAAGAAATATTTTAAAAAAAATTTGAAAATTTTTGTGGTAAAGATAAGTAAACATTTAACTTTTTATAAAATGTCATAAGAAAGTCTTGAAATATCAAACGGTTAGTTTGAGAAAATGGATGTAAATACAAGTAGTGGTGGAATATTTATCAAATAAATTTGTCTGTGCCTCTTTTCTCTTTCTTGAAGTTTACTATAAATACATTATTTATTTTATTTGAGTTCTTTTATTGTTGCTTCCATATATATATATATATTTATTTATCAACTAAATATATTTTATTTATGAAGCTTTCCTCAAACTATACAGTACTACAACTAAGAAATTTTGGATGATCTATAAAATACATACATAGTATATTATTCCCTTTCTACTAAAGGTAATGGATCTTTAATTATCACTCATATTTATAGCATAATATGCACTAATATATTTAGATCAAATTAGGTTAGTCATATGACCAAGTATATTTATAAAGTATGTTTATATTTAATTTGTTTCACTGTTGTGATCTGATCTCAATGACATCGGCTTTGCACAATTTATAAGATATTTCCATTGATGACATTCTCTTTGCAATTTTATAAAACGACATCAACTTTGTCCCTCTTAATAACTATTTTTCCAAATACCTGTTAGAGCATGTAAAGATGTAGCACCCGGAAAGGAGGAAAAAAAAAAAAAAAAAAAAAAAGTCACGTCAGCAACCACGTCAGCAGTCCCGGCCAATCGGGGTCTGCCACGTGGCAAGACCACGTCACTCCGAAAGGAGCCACGTTGGCGATCCGCGTGGGTGCGATCCGACGGCCCAGATCAATCGCGCGATCGGACGGCCCAGATTCAATCAAAAACGAACGGCCCAGATTAAAACGAAATGGACGGCTGAGATCAAAAGGCAAGGAGTTATAAATAGAAGCCCCACACCAAACCACAAACCCTAGCCGCCTGCCGCTCGCCGGAGAAAACGAACCAGAGGCCGACCGCCGCCACCCGCCGCCGCACCGGGGAAATTTCCGACCGCCGATCGAGGTAAATTTCATACCCCGACTCGTTTTTCCACGCTGATTCCTCCTATGGCCAAATCGAGGCCGAAATCCCGGCCAAACGGCCGGAATACGCGGCCGAAGCCCAGCGGCGCCGCCGCGCCCCCTCTCGGTTTTTGCCTCCGACGAGGCCCTTCCCGGCCTCCGTTCGATGCAATTTTTATATCACCGTGATCACCATTCTTTTCTCTACAGGTTGACCGGAGCCGAATCACCAAAACACGAACCTCGCCGGAGAGCCGCCGCACCCGAGAGCGCCGCCGCCGGTAAGCTCCGTTTTTCCGTGATTTTTTGGCCCCCCGAGGGCCCTAGGGTTGTTTTCTCACAAGGACCGATGCGAGTGTGGCCGAATTCGGCCGAAAACGGCCGAAAACAGCCAACCCGAGGCGACTCGCCGCCGCCAGCGTCGGCGCCGTCGCCGGAGCCGCCGTGTCGGAGTTGCGATTTGGGCCGAAAGAGGCCCTGGGCCTAATTTGGGTTTTTTTTGGAACACGTGCAGGTACTGTTAGTGTGTTTCAGTTCCCCGGGAAAAATTCAGGAAAAATTAAGGACGGCCTGCAGGCGCACTGTGAATCGTATTCGGATCCCGAAAACAAGTAAGGACCCCTCACCCTATTTCCTATCACGGTATTAAAGTTCAAAATGATAAAACGGTATTTCTTGAATTAACGAATGTGTGAAATTACTTAAGGTGGCTAATGGAGCCCGAGTCTAGTGTGATTGGTGATTTACTGTTATTTGGCATGTTTACAGCTTTAAATGCAAAATGAGGTTTGATGTGTTCATTTTACAGATTTGTGTGCATATACTACGTTTTTATTAATTATGGGTTGAATGACTGAAAAACTGATAC